TCTCTCTCTCTCTCTCTCTCTCTTTCTCTTTCTCTTTCTCTTTCTCTCTCTCTCTCTCTCTCTCTCTCTCTCTCTCTCTCTCTGTTAATTTTTCCTTCTAAATTGTCTTTGTAGGAATCGGATGATAATAATAGCCATGAAAATCTCCACGAGGCAGAGCTCATGATTGGACTTTGTAGACATTTAATGCTGCAGGGATATGATCCAGCAGATGTCACTATTCTTACTCCATACTCGGGGCAGTTCTTTTTGTTAAGAAAAGTAAGTTTTACAGTGTTAATGCCAAAACTGCAACCAAGAGATCCTAAAAGGATTTTGTGCTTACACTGGAAACCTGAAATGAAAATGGATAGCCCTTGGTGTTAAACACTGCTGCCACCAATTTTATATTTATTCAGATAACTTTTTTAGAGGAAGATATCTTTGTAGACAGGTAATGTACATACTAAGCAAGCAGAAAATATAATCTTGGCACATTGATATTCCTCAATGTCATTGCATAGGGTAAGGATGTATGCCTACTTTTTTTAAAGAGCAAAATATATTTCCATATTGGAGCAGCAAGTATTTATAAATAATCTATATGAGAAATGTGATAATGATTTCTTAAATTCATACAGTAATAATGTAATTTTAAACATTGAATCTTTGCTCATGTGTACCTATATTATAATATTTCCACAGCTAAAACAGTACTTATTTTTAACAGCTTCAGCGTGAACATCCAGTATGTAGTGGTGTAAGGATCTGTGTAGTAGACAACTTTCAAGGAGAAGAGAACAAAATCATTCTACTCTCCCTTGTCCGTAGCAATGAAGAAGGAAAAGTGGGTTTCCTCAGCACTGATAACCGAGTGTGTGTTGCCCTTTCCCGAGCTAAACATGGGCTTTACATAACTGGGAACATCAATCTCCTTTGTGAGTCAAGTACACTTTGGCAGAAAATCCACAATGATCTCCTCAGTGGAGAGAATATAGATAATGCTCTACCACTGAAATGTGAAAATCACCCAGATGAAGAACAGAAAGTGTCAAGTGGTCCAGAATTCTTCACAAAGAGCCCAGAAGGAGGTTGTATGCGACCCTGTAACAGACCTCTTAGTTGTGGTCATAACTGTCCAAAGCTCTGTCACTTACAAGACATAGACCATGAGAATTACAACTGCAGAGTACCTTGTCCCAAACTGTTATGTGAACTGGAGCATCCTTGTCCAAAAAAATGCTTTGAAAAATGTGGTCCATGCAAAGTTATGGTCCCTAAGACCCTTCCATGCACCCACAGTCATACTATCCAATGCCATATTGCACCTGAAAATTATGATTGTCCAACTCCTGTTGAGAGAATCATCCCTGCTTGTCAGCATAAAGTCACAATGCCTTGTTCTGCAAAACCTGCAGACTTCATTTGTCCTGAGGACTGTGATATTCGGGTTGATTGTGGTCATATGTGTAGGCAGAAATGCCATGTGAAGAGGGACCCTGAACATAAAAAATACAACTGTTTCCAGAAATGCACAAGATTAAATGCTGGTTGTACTGAAAATCACCCTTGTGTAAGGCAGTGCTATGAGGAATGCGGTGCATGTGTAACAGAAATTACTAAAGTCCTTCCTTGTGGTCATACTGCAAAAAATGTGCCATGCCATATTCCTGCAGAAGAATATCAGTGCCAGCAAAAATGCAAGAGGACTCTAAGCTGTGGCCATGCATGTAAGAAAATGTGCAATAAACCATGTGGAAACTGTCAAGTGAAGGTGAAAAAAACTGTTCCAGAATGTGGTCATACTATTACGGTAAGAGTTTTTATGGTATTACCTGAGAAAAATTATTCCTTGATCCTAGGCTAATTATGAGATCAGTTACTTTAATAAGTACATTATTTTATATTTTCATATATGTTAATTAATATATCTATATCTATCAATCATATTTATCTATCTGTCTATCTATCTATATAAATTGTTTTTATTTATTCATTATTTTAGATTGAGTGTGGAGAGGATGCAACAACTGAAAAATGCGATGGTCCTTGTACAAAAACTCTTCAGTGTGGTCATCCCTGCCTGGAACGTTGTAACGAAACTTGCACTCAGATGTGTATGGAGCAGACTGTGTCATCTTCGAAGTGCCCCAAGAATCATGATATCAGGATCCCTTGTTGCCAGAATGATAAAAGTAAAACATGAAAATTATAATTAAGAGTTCCACGTAATTTTTCTCAAGACTGCAGCAATATTCATAGATGAATATATATATA